CTAAATATATGTTTGGGTACCACATGCATTCCTGGTACCTAAAGAGGCCAAAAGAGGGTGTTGAGTCCTCTGGTACTCCAATTACTGATATTAGTGAGCCATCATATGGGTGCTAGAAATCAGACCTGGGTCCTCTGGAAGAGCAGACAGTACTTTTAACTGTTGAGCCATCTCTTCAGCCTAAGGGGACTTTTTAAAAATAATGATGATAGATACTTGGGACTGTGTACATATTAATAGAGGACTTTTCTATAATGATGCTATGTGCTTGGAAATGTTCGTATAGAAATAGGGAAAAACTAGGAGGAAGTAGAATCAAGATGCAAGAGAGGAAGGAGATAGCTGATATGAGATATCTAAGAAGGGAAGATGAGATCCAAACTCTGGTGATTTAACTGATCTTGGGATATTTCTGCTTTTAAATCAAGAGATGCTTGCTTTCCAATGGATCTTTAAAAATAAGCCTATGTACAAGAGTCAATAGAATAAGGTTAGGTAGGAATTAATTGGTTTCCCAAGAATGGTTGACATGTTCCTTATCAGGATTGCTTAGAAGCCAGGAAATAATTGGTATCTGTACCTGTGGGTTAGCAACTAGACTCCTTCTAGCCATTTTTGTACAAAGCCATACCTCCACAGAGTTGAACTGATCTGGGATCTGTGGGCTTTCAGAATGATAGAGGCTTTAAGGTGGGTTGCAGTAGATAACTAACATAAAAAGGCCTTGACTGATAATCTGCAGACTTCCACATACATGCAAATGAGGAAAAATGTGTCAAAGGAAAGTAGAAAAGCAACTCAGTATAAACCTCTGTAAAAATCATCTATTATGGAAATTTGTAATCACGCATAAAATTACACAGACCAACACAGTGAACCGACGTGTATTGCTAATTTCTTAAAAAATATAAAATATGATGTGGATGCTAAGATCTGTAAACTCAATACCAGGGAGGGTGAGGCAGGATAATTGCAATGCCAGCCTGGACTACGTAGTGAGTTTCAGGCTACCCTAAGACACAGGAAGAACCCCAGTGAAGGCTGGACAACCCACTGTGGGGGAAATTGTGGGTGGGGAGGTGAGAGTGGGAGGGTGGGTGGGTGTACATCCTCATAGAAGCAGGAGGAGGAGGGATGGGATAGGGGGTTCCTTGGTGGGGGGGAAAGGGTATTACATCTGAAATGTAAATAAAATATCCAATAAAAAATTTTAGAAAGGTGCTTGCTTCAGCAGCATATATGCTAAAAATTCAAAGAAGAAATAGCAATTTTTGCTCGTAATTTTAATGGTACATATTTTATTATATCTAGAGTTGATCCTCACTTAATAATTTCATATTTATAACCTGGACTATTTGCTAAAATTTATCTGTACTTCTGTAGTTAGTACTTGCAGTACTTTAATGATAGTTTATGGACCTGCACAGAGGGCCAGGCACTAGATGTTCCCAGCTAAGGTTGAGTAGAGAACACACAGCTTTTCTCATATCTGTTATCACACTGTAACTGTCCTTTTCATGGTCATTTAATGTTACATTTTTGCCTCTTTTGTTAGTGACTTCACTGTTTAAAGTAGCCACTAACAATAATGCCAATGCCAGAAAGATGTGGTGTGTCTTAAGGAGACCATGTATGTATTATATAAGCTTCATTTTGGCATGAGCTATAATGCTATTGGCTATGATATTGGAGGTAATGAATCTTGTAAATCTAGAAAAAGAAAGAAGAAAGCTGGCAGTCTGTGCATGATGCTGCTCAGAGAAATGATGGAATAAGATTTTATTTTGGAGCGTGTGTGATGTATGTATGTGTGTCGATGTGTATGAAAGAGCATGCCATTTGTGTGTGAGAGGATCTCTGTCTCTTTCTTTGTCTCTGTCTCCCTGCCTCCCCTCTGTGTGTGTGTGTGTCTCTCTGTGTGTGTGTGAGTGTGTGTGCGCACATGTGTGTGTGTGTGTGTGTGTGTGTGTGTGTGTGTGTGTGTAGGTGTGTGTGTGTAGGTGTGTGTAGGTGTGTAGGCCAGAGATTGACATTGGGTGATTTCTTAGTTACTTAGTTAAAATTCGTTTGCTGTGAAGAGACACCAGGAGCAAGGCAACTTATAAAATAAAGGGGACTTGCTTACAGTTTAAAAAGGTGAGCTCATAGCCATCATGTAGGGAGCATGGCAGCAGGCAGGCATGGCACAGAGCAGTAGCTACGAGCTTACATATTATCCGTAAGAAGCAGGGAAAAAGAGGAGGGAAGGGGACCAGGCATGGGTTTTCGAAATCTCAGAGCCCACCCCCGGTGACACACCTTCTCTATCAAAACCACACTTCCTAGTTCTCCCCCAAAGCTCTTCCACAGACTGGGAATCAAGCATTCAGATAATATGAGCCTGTGGGGACCATTCTCATTCCAACCATCATATTCTCCATGTTAGTTTTTGAGAGGAACTCTCAGTGAGCCTGTAACTCTCCAGTTGAGCCCCAGTGAGCCTCCTATCTCTGCCTTTACAGAGCTCTGAGATTGTCAGCACATGCCTCTCTCTGTACTGGTTCTTTTACATGGGTCCCAAGAGTTGCAACATCCATTTTACTGACTGAAGTGTCACCTCAACCTCAATAAAAGTCTAATTTGTATTTCTTTCATTCTAAAGATAATGAATTTTTTTCCAGACAGGGTTTCTCTGTGTGTAGTTCTGGCTAACCTGGAACTCAACTCTGTAGACCAGGCTAGCCCCAAACTCACAGAGATCCATCTGCCTCTGCCTAATGAGTGCTAGGATATAAATGGTGTCTGCCAGCACTGCCTGGCAAGAATATTGAACTTTTAAATTAATTAGTTTTTAAATTTTATTGATTAATTTATTTGTGTATTTGTATATTATTTGTCTGAGTTTGTGTATGCATATGCATTGCATACATATGGAAGTAAGAGGGTAACTTACTAGAATCAATTCTCTCCTAACTTGGGTCATAAATATTGAGTTCAGATCATTAGACTTGATAGTAAGTGTTTTGCCCTGCTGAGCCATCTTGCTGGCCCCTTGATTTAGTTTTCAAATTAACATATAACGTAACAATTTTCATTAGGGCGTTTTAGAATAGCTTGATTTCTTTGATATTCCCTGACCAATCTTCTCCCTCATCCCCACCTTGTACCCTCCACCCAGTCCTCCATTTTCAATTCTCATGTCTTACGTATTCTATTATCCTCCTCATCTTCCTTCCTTCAAACCTTTTCTCATTGGTGGTTTCTTTTTAAAGTGTTATTATCATATATTACTTATGCATAGTAATGGATTTCAGTATGCCCATTTTCATACACGTCTATAATGTATTTACTGTTACCTTCTTTTGCCCTACTCCCACTCCTGCTCATCCCCTTCCTTCCTAACTAGCTGCCTTTCCACTTTCATATGTAAGTCAATGCTTTCCATTAGGGTTCTTTATAGGAACATTGGTATTTGTTTGCAGGAGCATAAGTACCTTGCCAGTGGCTACGTGAGTGAAAAAAAATCTCTCCTTCCTTCATCAACATTAACTACATATAAATCCTCAGGGAAGGTTAGAGCCAACATGGACTTTCTTCTTTTGGTAGTCGTCTGTTCAGTTCATTTGCCTTATATTTCTGGAGTTTGAGTTTTGGAGATCTTTGTAGATTCTTGATAATCAATCCCCTCTTGTACGTATAGCTGGCAACAATTTTTCTTCCACCCTATAAGCTGTCTCTGTACAATTTTTCCTTTGTTCTGTAAAAGCTTTATAATTTCATGGCATCTCACTTGTAGATTTTTGGGATTATTTCCTGTATTAGTTGAAGCCTTTTCAAAAAATTCTTACCTGTGCCTAATCCTGGAAAACAAAGACCCGAGAACACCATTATTATATGGGCTACAGCGATGACTTCTGTGTTTCTCTGGACTTTGATCTTCCTCAGCTACAACTCCAACTTCTCGCCCTATACTACATAACTATTTGCTCTACCACACTGAGCCACTCCTGATGCCACAGAGGCAAGAAGCTTACCCTCTTGGAATTTATGGACTCTTGAAATACCTCCCCTGTGTTTTTCTCTAGTGCTTTCAGAATTTGATCCAAGCTGAACTAATTTTTGTCCAGTGTGAGAGACACGAATATAGTTTCTTTCATTTAGTTTTCCCAGCACTCTCTTGTGTATGATTTTTGCACCTTTGTTGAAAATCAAGTGGTTATAGCTGCATGGGTTTATTTATGGGTCCTTTCTTCTAGTCCATGTTGGTGTTGTGCTGTTTTTGCTTCTGTGACCTTGTAGCATAATTTGAGATTAACTATTGGGATACTTCCAGCACTATTTTTTCTGCTCAAGATTGCTTTGGCTAATTCAAGGTCTTTGGTGCTTCCATTGGAAGTTTAGGATTTTTTTTTCTAAAACCTCTGTGGAGAATGTTGTTGGAATTTTTATGGGAATTGTATGGACTCTGTGTGGAAGAGTAATACTTTTAAAACACAAACATGTTGTTTTATATTTTCAAATATGTTCTCCCATTCTATAGCTTAGGTTTTTGTTCTGAGTCTTTTATAAAGCAAGGAGTTTTAATTTTGTTTAGTTCTAATTTTTTTTTTTAAAAAAATATATGTGTGCTATATTGCTTTATTTTGCCAATGCCAGAGAACTTGAGTGAAGCTGAATTCAAAAGTAATAAACAAAAAAAAATGATGGAAATTTGTTTAGCAGAAGGAATTTTAAGACAAGATAGCATTCAGGCTGGGATTCTGTTATAGTGAAAAGGAGCAACAGGTGAAGCACAAAGATAAGAAAAATGTACAGTTTGGCAAGGAAAAGAGCCTAAACCAAGAATGTCATCACAGTGGACCCTTACTTACTCCGGAATGGATGCACAGGGAAACATTTCCCCGGGGTCAACATTAAAGGCACACAAAGGCCACTGACAATATGATCTAATTGGACCAGGCTATATCTCAAGCTGAAAGCAGAATTCTGCATAATCATTCACTGGGGTTCTGCTTTTACAGGCATAGAAGAAGCAAGTGGGAGTGAGTCATGAAGACTTGTTCCAAGGCTACAGAAAGCCCGCGCATCCAGGCACTAAGTATAATTGTTGGAGTCCCTGGAAAAATACCCAGAAAAGCCATTGCATGGAGCTGGGAAGATGAAGCCCAAGTTACAGCAGAGGGACTAGGATATTGGAGATTCATTCTAGACTTGTGCTTATCCACTGAGGAAAGCTGCAAGAACACAGTGGAACAAGCCCAAGACAGAAGTCACATGTGCTGTAGGTGGCAGAACTGGAGTGCTACTACTACCCAAATTTAGACCTCAAATGGTCCATCCTATCATGATACATGCTAGCCATGGAGCTAGAGGATTAGATGTTAGTTGTAACTAGGGTTTTGTTTTGCTTTAATCCAGCTGTTCCTTGCTGTTCTCCCATTATTTCCCATTTAGAGTGGGGCTGTTTCTTCTTTTTATGTATATTAGAAGTGTTCAACTTGTATTTTGATTTCATAGGTGCTCAAAATTAAGAAATGGTCTGGAGCCTCAGAAGAGACTGAATTTTTGAGCAGAGCTGTAACTGTTAAAGACTATGAGAGCTTTTAGAGAGAGACTAAATGAATTCTGAGATGAACATGAGACTTTATGAACCAGGGTAGAATACTAAGGTGATATGTTTGGTGTTGGGTTGGCAGGAAGTGGAATTATAATTTTTGTTACCAATTTAACAGGATTTAGAATCACTAGGAGACAGCTCTGTGCTTGTATGTAAGTGCAGATCTAGACAGATTTACCTTAGAAGGGAAATTTTCCCTTAAATAAATGTTGTGACATCCTATGAACTGGAGTCCCACACAGAATAAAAAGGAGAACTGAGAGGAGTACCAATATCATCTCTTTATACTTCCTTCTGCCACTTATTGAATAATCAGGTGAGTGTATTTCTGTTCGTCTGTTTATGGGTTCTCCATTCATTTCTGGGTTGTGTCTTACGCTACCCCAGTAGTAAATCTCAATAGCCTTTGTCTGTATAATAAACTTTAATATCTGATAGAGTGATTATCCCTAGTTTATTCATTCAAAGGTATTTTGGCTATTCTCATTACTTTTCCTTATATGTTCTAGAATAAGCTTGTATATATTTATGAGAAATCTTAGCAAGATTTTAATACTATGTTAAACTACATATACATATATAATTATATGAAACTCATTTTGAGAAAAAAATAACACTTTATGTTACATGCTCTCTTTGAGACATGTTCCAAGTGAGAAGTAAGCTGTCTTCTTTTTAAATTTTTTTTACTTATTCATTTTCCATCCTGCTCATGCCCCCCTCCTAGTTACCCCCTACCACAATCCTTCCTTCATTTCCCCTCCCCTTATCCTTTGAGCTCATGCTCTTCCTTGGTATTCCCTCACCCTAGCACATCAAGTCTCTGCGAGGCTAGGCTCATCCTCTCTCACTGAGGCCAAACATGATAGCCCAGCTAGAAGAACATATCCTATAGACAGGCAATAGCTTTTGGGATAGTCCCCTCCCATTCCAGTTGTTCAGGACTCACATGAAGACCAAGCTGCAAACCTACTATATATATGCCTGGAGAACTAGGTCCAGCACATGTATGTTCTTTGATTGGTGAGGTTCAGTCTCTGAAAACCCCAAGGGCCCAGGGTAGTTGACTCTGTTGGCCTTCTTGTGGAGGTCCTATCCCTGTTGGGACCTGCAGTCCTTCCTCCTATTCTTCCATAAGAGTCCCCAAGCTCCATCTACTGTTTGGCTGTGGGTGTCAGTATCTATTTGAGTCAGCTGCTGGGTGGAACCTCTCAGAAGACAGCCATGCTACACTCCTGGTCTGAAATGGATATCATTAATAGTGTCAGGGATTGGTGCTTGTCCATGGGATTGGTCTCAAGTTGGGCCAGTTATTGGTTGGCCATTCCCTCAGTCTCTGCTCTATTCCCTGTGCCTGCATTTCTTGTAGACAGGATAAATTTTGGGTTGAAAGTTTTCACAGGCAGTTTTTTTAAAAAATAGTATCAGAGAGATGCCCAAAAATCAGTGGGGATACCCTTAGCTATGACTCGCAGCGTTGGGGATATGGAACCTGAACAGGCCACCTCCTGTAGCCAGGCAGGAACCCACCCACAAAACTTTCAACCCTAAATTTATCCTATCTACAAGGAATGCAGGGACAGGGGATAGAGCACAGACTCTTTGATAAGCTATGTAACCCATGGTGACCTTGAGCTCATGACAAACCTGTCTCAGTTTCCAGAGTGATGGAATTATAGGTGTGTGCCACCACGCTATACAAAAGCAGGGTACATGTGTGGCATCTTTGCCTTCATTTTGCATCTATCTCTTTTACTTTGAGTTGCTGAGTATTCTAATCAATGGACAATATATGTGTCTTCATTAAAATTGTTGCTTATTTTCTTTCATCAAGGTTTACTAAGTAACTTCATCTGCTTGGTCTGGGAATGCTGCAGCCCTTCCTTTGCTCACTTGTGATGATAGCTCCCTCATAAGGTCATTGTGGAGAATTAAAGAGACAGTGCAGGTTTGAATCCTGCCTCTGACATGTTTACTTTGTCCTTAACTTTTTTCATTCATATTTATTTGCTGGGCTCTTGAGCCTTTATCTTTGAACCCACAAGCAATAATAGAGGAATGCATTAAAAAATTATGTGAATACGGAACATGAGAATTTAAATAAAAAACTCAAGCAGAATAGAGACATTGTAAACTATGGCTCTTATTCTAATGGGGATATAATTTGGTAAAACATGATACATACCACATTTTTGTTGGGAGCTGACTCTGAGCCGAAAGCGGCTGTTATCTTTGCAGCCATCTTGAGCCATATAACCTGACAAGAGACTTGTTTACAACAGCTGAACACACTCTGATAATTATCTTGATTCTTTCAGTCAAGGTCGGGCAGTGGTAGCACATGCCTTTAATCCCAGCACTTGATTGACTCAGGAGAGAGAGAAAAGGAGAGGCCAGGGCAGACCCAGAGTCAGAGCTAGTCAGACTCGACAGAGGGCTAGACAGACTCAACAGAAGGCTAGACAGACTCAACGGAGAATCAGAGGCAGAGAGCAGACAGACTAGTCAGAGCAGACAGACTTCGTCTCCAGACAGACTTCGACTAGACAGACTTGACAGAGAGCAGACAGACTCAGACTCTGTCTCCAGCAGGCAGACTTCATCTTGTCTCCATTCTTTGCGTCCCTGTCCCCACTCTCTCTCTTGCTCCCTGACCCGCGGACCGGAGCAGCAGAACGGCTCGCTACAGATATGGCCATGAAAATTTTTCTGATTACCTTTTACCTATACTAGATTATAAGACCCTCTTCATTCCACAGGGATCCATACTGCTCAGGGAAGCCAAGAGGAATCTGAACAACACAGGCATTGTTGGGTTTTCTCAACAGGGTAGGCTGTCTCTAAAACATTCATTAGACATGTAATAATAAAATGCAGAGACAGATTTAGTCAATGTGACCATATTGGGAAGATATTGAGACAGATGTCCCCAAGTCCATCTCTTGGGTACCCACATGAGCTTTAGGTTTAAATAGTGGAGGACTGGGGCAAGGGGCAGGAGATATATGTAATTAAGCTGGCCTCCTCTGAGTGTGGCCTAGTTTATCATATCGCCTCAGTCCCAGCCCTGCAGGGTGATCTGATGAAGTCCTTAATGCTGTAATTGCTTGAGAAAGTCAATCTGGTTCACTGAAATTGATTATTTCTACACTAGCATACAGCTGTGCTGTCATAGAGACTTGCCCTTATCTGAAGGACTAGCTTTCCGGTGAGATTCTGCTGTTCCTAGAATCCATGGTGACTGTAGGTTTAGGACGCTGATTTACTCTATGCATTTAGCCTTGAAAAGGAATGAAAGAGTGAGTGATTGACATGCAGGCCTGAGATAAATAGTACTGAGATAAACAGGTAACCGGAAGGAAAAAGGGATGGATATAAAATGAAGGCAGAAATGCCAGGCTTTCTCCTCATACATATTTCTCTTTTTTCATTTTTATTTTTATTATCTTGAGACAGGGTTTCGCCATGTTGCCCTGGCTGTCCTGAAACTCACTCTGTTTAGCAGGCTGGGCTCATAGAGAGCCACCTGCTTTCAGAGTGCTGGGATTAAAGTGTATACCCACTATACCCAGTTTGTACATTTTTCTTTGTTTTTAAACATGTTCCTTCAATTTTATTCAAACAATATATTTATTACCAATATCTCAGAAGTATTTAACATATTCCAAAAATAAATTTCATGCGATCAAAAGGTGATATTCACTTTAATCCTGTTTGCTTTCATGCAACTGTTATGAGCCTTCATTCCATGCCACATAAACAAACAGAGCCAGAACCACATGAACAGCAACAATTACAGCATAAAATTAGTGTTCTCTATTAGAAACTCCAAGGGCACCTCCAAATATGTAAGATTTAGTTGTAAAATACAGCTAGATAGGAACTGTGATCCTTAAAGCTGTAAAGAACAGGAGTGTCTTCAAGGTTGAAGCTAAAGATAAAGAATTTTCATTTCTAAACTCTGGAGGCTGCATTATGTTCAGGGCTGCTTTATCAAGGAGCTCCATGGCGTGGCCTCGAGGGCAGCAGCAGGCACTAGATAGTTGACAGGTCTCAGCAGCCACCAGGAGGGTGACAGTACTAGGCCAGCCATCACACAGAAAGTCTGCACGTATTTCTTGAATACAGGAAAAGTCAGTGTCCCACAAAGTAAAATAGAAATGATCAGCTTTGCATCATTTTTGGTGAAATGAAAATTCACACACTTTGAGGTTTGTATAGTTGAAAGGGTGGGGAAGGAAGACAGGATGAGTTACAGAGTAGCTTTTCCAATCAGCAATCCACACTGGACCTCCAAGGTAACGAGAAGGATGACAGTGTGGATATAGCATATATTTCTTCTCAAAGCTAGCTACTTTCTATGGGAACCTGTAAATCTGGGAGAACTCCCCCCAAAACAGGGGAAGACTGAGAAAAGATGAGCAGCCCTGGCAGAAATGATCTTATAACCTGGGAATCAGGATAGATTTGAAAGTTGTAGAGAAGAGGTAAGAGCTATAAATCTGAAAGAACATTGAGGACCCTGTGACTTTGTAGGCCTGAGTGTCCTAGTCAGGAAGAGGTAGGGGAGGGGCCCTTTTGATTCTTGAGATATGGATATGACTGCCAAGTGCCCAGAATTATTGCAGAAAGATGTAAGAAATACTCCTCCTCCTTGAACATTTGCCCCTGGCAAGCTATATTTCCCAGGAACGCAGGGCCTTCTACTCCCCTTCTGGCCTTGAAGGCAAAGGAGACTGAGGCTTTGGGACAACATGAAGTGCTGGGGGCAGGGGAGATGATCATGGGCAGAACACAGAAGGGCGAGCCTCCTCCATCACCAAAAAAGGAGTGTGGCTTCAGTAAAGGGGGGGTGCAAAATGATATTGTGGAGGTAGAGATGGAACGGGACAAGAAGCTGAAACCAGGCAGGGCCACCCAAGAAGGGAGATTCTAGGAGAAGCACTCTAAGGCCAGTTGTGAGTGCAGAATCCTAGGGAAGGCCGTATAGCTTGATGTAGCACCTGGCCTCTACTTCTGCCTCTGACAAGCAAGCTGCCACTGCTGTACACCCTCTTCTCAGACAGACCTGTGCAAATCCTATTGGGGTAAAATGATTCAGACTACGGCTAGAGGTATCTGAGCAGTCAAGAGCACTTTATGCCCTTGGAGAACTAGATTTTGTTCACCATACCTACCCATATGGTGACTTACAAACTCTGGGTAGAGGGGATCTGACCCCATCTTCCTGCCTCTGTAGGCTTATAATACACGCAGGCAAAAAGTCCTATACTTCAAATAAAAATACATCTTTTACAAATGTTTCAGATCCTTAGATCAGCATTCATTTACACTCTGCTGTCAGCCTTATATGCAGTCATTCTCCGTCAGGTTTTTCAGTAAAAGACTAATGTACCCACAAGAAGGATGCTCAAAGACAGACACCAGAAGTCAGCTTCAGCTTCTGCTCTCAGGCCAAGAGGTGAGGTAGAACCAGACAGACAGGGATGCCTCCGCTTTTGGGCCATGGTCAGACTTCTGAAGATATGTTTGAGGACACTGAGACATTAACTATTTGCTGCAGATGGCTGTGTGAACTAGGGGGGCAGGCCAGTAGTTATAAGAGGTGTTGAAGACATATGTAGCCCATTTCAACTTCCCATCTTACCTTTAAATAAAACACTCCTCCTGTAGTTGTTACAATCAGTTTCACTTTTTATTTGTCTTCACCAAAGATATAGTATGCATGACATTAGATGGTTATATATTCATTTATTTAGAAGTCCACAATATATACTGCCTGATGAAAAAATACAGAATATAGAACAGCACTTATATGTGATCACTTTTATCAATACATAAATACCTAGGCACACAGGTACAGGGAAATATACAGAAGGATAGTCACCAAAGGGCTGACAATGATGGTATCAGGGGGAGATTTTCAGGGAATGTGCACTTTAGGTTTTTTCTTTTTAACTTCATTTGGAAGGTTCAAGAAGATACCACTTCACGGATAGATTAAAATCACCAGAGAACAACACACAGAGGAACAACCATTAAGCAATTAATGGAATGAGCAAGGAATGATGTGGGTCCATGCCTCTCTGTTACATGGTATCCCAGTTTGCTTTCTCTTCGACAAAGAAAAGCTTGTTTTAAATGAATTCCTTATGTTAGAAGCCCACCCCATCCCTTTTTCTTTTAGAATTAGCTTCTGAGGAGACTGAAACATTGATCTGGGGCTGCGTCTCACACCTTAATATGGTACAGAGGGTTTTGGTCTCTCCATATGAGTCAGCTCCTGCAGAGTGACTATCAAATTCTCAAAAACCTGGCCCTTGTTGCTGGTATTGTCACAGGTTTCTTTGGCGTGGCCCTCTTCACCACAATGAGGACAGCGGATTGGGTACTTGCGCTTTCTGGTTCTACCTAGATCCCCAGGCCCATTATTCCTTTGCCCAGAACCACTGCTAGTGGAAGGAGACTCCTCATCATAATCATCAGAGGATTCAATAACTAGCATTTCTTCCTGACTGCTGGCTGTGCCTCTCAGGGATGAGGTGCCTGGGGATAAGAGTGGAGGGTCCTCAGGCTCCACCAGAATCACATCTTCATCCGAGTCATCCTGGGAATCATCTATCTCTATCACATTACAGTCAGCACTGCCTATCACTATAGGCAGGGAGCCCTGAAAGACGACAGGGCTGGCTGCCCGCTCCATTACAGTCTCAGATCTTCTGGGCCGCTTATTTCTAAGGAAAGTCTCATTCCAATCCTCTTCCTCCCTTATCATCCTGATTAACTCCAGGAAGTCAGGAAGGCATTCCTGCTCATTATGCGCATGCATTTGGAGAAGACCCTTAAGCTTGATGCGCAGCTCCCTACTCAGCTCAGCCCCTACAAGGAGCTGGTGCAGGCGAGTCCTGTTTGCCTCACTCTGAGGAAGGACCCCTGCCTGGATAGCATTCTGCAGCTGCACCTCTAAACGGATCGCGTACAGGGATGGTTTCTCTCCCTGTGCCTGCAGGGTGTTTAAGAATTTGCCATGTGCGGTTATACTGCTCTCTGACCCCCCAAATAGCAACTTCATTGCCCGCAAAAATTCTGCTACATTTAGATTGGGATTGTCAGCCTGGAACAAACGCATGGCCTCCCGGGCAGGGCCCCTAAGGGTTCTCATCAGGCGTTTGATCTTTTCCTCTTCAGACATAGGCCAATCTGGCAGGACCTCATGGACTTGGCTTAGCCAGTTCTCAAAGGTTCCTTCCCCGGGGCCTAGCTCTGCCCTCCCAGAGAACGACTGTATATTTCTCTCTGCAATGTTGGCTATCAAAGGACCAAGACTCCTCCCCAGGGCCCTCAGCATGGAATGGGCAAAAGGCATAAAAGCTGCATTCTGTCGGCGACTGTTACCCATCCTAGCAAGGAGACTAGCCATGCCTGACAATAATTGGATATCTGAATACAAGACGCTTGGACTTTCTGCAAACAAAAACAGTCCAATCTGCAGAAACCTCCAAAGAAACGTTCCCCGGCAGTCTCTTCCTTGTGTTTGGGTTGGAACTGTAAAACAAAACAAACAAACAAACAAAAAATCAATAACACAATGGATTTGGAAACAAGCTTCTAATCACATTTTCTACAGTCTTGAATATTTGCCCACTACGCAGCAGGAAACTGGCACATCACAACCTTGAGGAGCAATAGTTTCTCTGTGCTAGTGGGGCCTTTGTCAGTCGCATCTCCTCCCTCCCTACTGCACCCCACCTCACTGCCTGTTCTCTAGGAGAAGCAACAACTGTTGCTTGGAATTCCAGCTGCAGCAGCCTTTTGGAACTCCTACTAGGCTCTCAAATAGAGGGCAATAGAATAAACCTTACAGAATTATGTTAATAAGGCCTTAAATATATTAGGTAGCAAGTCCCTCCTCCTCCCCCCGCCCTCTGCCCCCTCCCCCATTTCTAGGATTCTTACCAGGGCTCAGAAACTGGCTTCCACCTTTATTTTAAGCCTAGCCTCTGCAACAGGTGCTTTCCGTAATAGTTCTTGTCCAGGTAGGGTTGGTCTCTGGACCGCAGGCTCTCTGATCCAGGTGCTCTGGGCCTCTAATCTAAACTGCGCCACAGCAAAAGGAGGGGAGGACAAGGGTCTGAGACGTCAGCAGTCTCATGGTTCCTTCATAGGCGCCATTGTCGCCAGGAGGAAAAACCCTACCTTCAGAATAAAAGCCAAAAGGGCCCACCCCTCCCCCAATCCACTTCACCCGGGGAAAACAGAGGCCTACCAGCTCTGCAATCAGTCACACAGAATTCGTTTTTGAAATCGGCTTTGATGAGCTGCTATGGAGAAAAAAAAAGAAGAGAAATTGGATACCCTCCCACCCCGTATTTTCTATTTCGGAAGAGATGAGAGAAAGGGGGCTTCAGAACAAACAGACTGTGAATCATTCTCGTTGTCCTTTGCTACCTTCCTGAAAAAAAAAAAAATGTCCCCTCTCCAATCTAGGCAAATCCTAAGGTAGCATCCAGGTGAAACTCACCCCATACCACCATATAGCCCAACCGCTAGGGTGTTCACTTCCTTGCCTCGACGTTGCCAATTATGAAGCCCAAAATATTAAGGTTTCATCCTCCCATCTCCGCATTATGCGGTTGCACCCTTCTTCCTTTACCTTCGTAGATGGACAGAGGATGCTCAGGGTCTGCTACGAAAAGCTGTCTCACCTCTTAGGCCTTGCAGAGGAAAGGATGGCGCCTCAGCCTCGGAGCTGTCTGGGCTCGGCTCTTTGCAGGGTTGCCCAACCAGGGGTAGCAGAGTCGCAGCCGCGGTTTCCAAGGCAGCTGCAGCTGCCCCCGCCCTCAATTTCAGCCTGCAGAGCAGCAGCGGCTGCTTTTAGCCTCTGCCCATTGAGACAAAAGAGAGTGACGAAGGTAGTGGCGTGACCAATCAGCAGTGAGCAGGGGCGGCCTCCCTGCAAAGCCTGGGCCAGGATGCTAATGCCTGCCAGAGGGGGGGACCTGCTAGAGGGGGCTGCGGCAGACTGGCGCGGGAGCGGGCGCGGCGTCAAGTGCAGCTTGGACTCACGGACCTGGCCCTTTTACATTTCATTCGTGAGTTTGCAGCTTTCCCTCTCTTCCCTTCTTCCTATTGCCTTCCGCTTTGGCTCCCCTCCGATGCTTTGCGACCAGATGCCTTAAACACGAGGTGGGACCGAAACCAAGTGAACAATGAGAGTTCTTCACCTTTGTATAGGGGGGAAGGGGATAGCATTGGCTGAGCTCTTTCTGTGTGGCCAGCGCGCTTGCACGGACATCTCGTGTATTCTTCTCAGCAGTCTTGCGCTAAAAAACATAGCAGTGTACCCATTTAACAGAGAGGGGGATGTAAGCACCTAGGCAGTATGGGTAGGAAGCACAGAATTAACAACTCTCACCCAGCCCTGGCATCTAGCCTCAAGGGTTACACCCTTTAAACACCCCCTTTGTAGTGTCAGATTAAGGGTTAGTGGAGAAAAACCAAAATGAGGATGAGAGGACCACTATAGGGCTACATAAAATTAATAACCAAGAACTGACGTCAACTTACAGATGAGAAAACTGAGCCACCAAGATCTTAGGCATCCTGTCCTGTATCATGCAGCAAAGAAGCTAATAGCGTCGGATTTTGCACCTCGGTCAGTTGTTCTGTTGATGCCAGCGTTTTCCTCTGTGTTGATGCCAACATTTTGCCCTGTGTTGAGCTACCCAGAGAGAGCATTTTCACTTGTACATATATATCCACAAACTATCTCAGCAGCTTTGCTAATATAATGCTTGCGCTGATGAGAGGAGTGGGGAGAGATGGGAAGGGCAACCTTCATGATATGCACTATACCAAGGAGGAAACTGAGGCACGTTTCTGCTCCCTGTTTTACACTAAAATAAACCACCTGTTTGTAAAAATAAATAAATAAATAAATAAATAAATAAATAAATAAATAAACAGCATTTCTGTGTGACCCCCAAAGGAAATCGGACTCAGAGATGACTTGCCTAAAATTACAGGGTGAAGCTAGAGCTCTCAATCCAGAATTCATGCTACAAACTAAATTACAGGTACCCAGTTGGCTACCGCAGAATCATTGTTGAGGGCTTTCTAAAAATGCACATTGCTGGGCTCCAGCTCTGGAGATTTGGCTTTATTGCAGACTGGGGATGAACAACGTCATTTGTATTTTTACCTGTTGCAATAATTGATTCTGGGTTATAGAGAAGCTGTGAACCACTGTTCTAAACACCATACCATCCTGAAGACTATCAGTAAATGGGTCTGCCACTTAAATGTTTAATTCCAGAGCATAAGTTCCTACCTCAAGTCCTTCTTGAAACTGCATGCAAAGAATTTGACCACTTTTTCCTGATCCCCATAGCTCTATAAATTTTTAGATGGGCCTGTGGCCTCCAAAGAGTTAAGAATCATTCACTGCCCTACAATCTTCATAACATCTTCCTCTTTCAACACCTGCTTGAGGACAGAAGTGTGAGAAACAAAACATTTGACCTAACCCCCACACCACAGCTCTCTGCTGCTGATATAGCTCTTTCATTTCCTGGCTCAAGGCTAGGTTGCTAGGTTGCCCTTCTGTGAGCTCTTCAGGGGACTTCTCCTTTGCTGGATTTGGCATCACTGGCCCCAGGAAGGAGCAACTCCATGGAAACGGCATGCAAGGCTGTCCAAATCGAATGGGCCGTGAAGCCAGAGGCGAGAAAATCTGCTCCATTTTTTTTTTCTGCTTCTGGTTCTTAGACAGCAGGTGACACTTCTCCCGTGTAGATGGTAGCTAGGAGGCCCCTGTAGGGTTTGCACTGGACTCTTGATGCTTGGAAGCACGAGAACCATTTGAAACCCTGCAATTACCATTGGCTTTGTCTTCAACCTGCTAAGGTATTTCACTTATTCCTGTCTGCCTTCTTATTTACAAGTGTAGTGATTAGAATTACATAAGCAATCCAAATTTGGAAAGAAGCACCTTCTCTATTGATGTTGTAGTCTTTCTCTTGGGGGTAGAACCGTGGGGGTAGAGAGCATTGGAGGTACATAGGAAGCAGGCAGTTCACCTGGCAGAGTTAAGGCTGACACTGGGAGTACCTGGTAGATTTCCTTCATATCTTGCTCTGTTCCTAGTATCATGTTAAACAACAACTTCATAGCAGACTCTTGTTCTGTATTTCCACTGGCTTCATCACCAAAGTAGATGTTTTGTTGGACTGGGTGGGTAAGATCCAGAAACTAAAGGAGAGATCTGAGAGTTTTGATAAAAAAAATTAATGAGAAGAATGGATTTGGTATAGGTTCAGAGGTTGAGGCAAGAATGTTTTAGAGGAAAGTTACTAGCAAAATCCTTTGGGATGCAGAACATCTCTTATCTCTGGCCACGTGGATGGGAGTGTGCACCAAAGGATGGTTCTAATGAGGCCACATTTTTGGATTTTGACAAATGAACCTTAAAAGCTTGAGGGTTAAGAGGTAAAGCTTTCAGACAAAATAATGGTGGCTCCCTTTGGCAGCAGGCTCCTCTGTGCCAGGAGCTTTCCATTAGTTATCTCATTTAAACTCGGCAGCCCTGCTGACACAGGCACCACGCACCATTTTTCAGCATAGAAAATTGAGTTTCAAGGAGGTGAAGTGGCTTGCAATAAGCTGTACTACTTGAAAGTGGAGCCACCGGGATGCTAGCCCAGGGTTGCCCAACTCCACAACCCATGAGTACTTTCCATTTCCATTTTGAGGGGAAAGTGTAAATGTATCCTGCGGGGTTGGGGATGCAGTTCAGCAGGAGAGTATCTTCTTAGTATGTAAAAACTAACCCTAGTTTTGATCCCTAGCACTGAAGAGGGGGAAAAAAACAGAATAAAAGAAAGCATCCTAATAGAAGATCCTAATACAGTCAGAGAGCATGTTAGTTTTGTCATAATTTGAGCTTTGCTGCTACCACTTCATTTTAAAAACTGAAACTTACAGCACAGGCTCTTTATATTCTTGATTACATGCAATCTTCATGAAAATCACTTTAAAAATAGTGGTCCACGGGGCGAGATGGCTGCTGGTAAGGGTGATTGCTACTAAGCCTGGTGACTGGAGCTCAGTCTGGGAACCTATGGGGTGGAAGAAGAGAATCGAGGGCCCCAATCATTCTCTGATCTTCACAAGCGTGAAAGAAAGAAATATAAATTAAAACAGTAATGATAATTAGGTCCAAAGGGTTGGAAAGAATTGGCCAAGTTCATAAAGCCAGGGAATGGCAGACCAGAATTCAAACATAGGGTTGTCTGACTACAGTGTTCTCTATAACATACACGAGTGGGGACAATAAACATGGCCCTCTTTATGACTCCTTGTGTTAGCCTCTGCTCTGTCTGGTTTTTTTTGAGGGGGAGGGGCAGGGAGGAGTTAAGGGGGTTGGGTTTTTTGTTGTTTTGTTTTCCTAAACCATCTACAAGGCTAGCACCACAGGCTGTTCTGTCTTCCCAGAATATATATTCCTGAAGATCAGTCAGGACCAGATGAAGTGCCTTGCAGAAACACATCCAGTGTTCTTATGAAGGCCAGGGAAGGTCTTTCTTCTATGGGTGTGAAGGCCAAGCACAATATTCTAGGACAGTGTTTTTCAACCTTCCTATGCTGTGACCCCTTAATGCAGTTCTTCATGTTGTGGTGGCCCCAACCCATAAACTTATATTTTATTTCTGCTTTATAACTGAAAAATTGCCACTGTTATGGATCGTAATGTAAATATCTGATATGCAGATTATCTTAGGTGTCCTGTGCCCTTTAACCCCCAAAAAAGGGGTTGTGACCCATAGGTTGAGAACCAATGTTCTAGAAGCACGTATCCCTGCCAACAATAATTTTTGTCCTTTAGGTCTCTTCCTCAGTGTAAAACACCTATTTCCACTTATTCCCCCCTAACAAGAGGTGACTTATTTAAGGCTGGTGCCACCTCTTTCCTGAGAACATTTTTATTAACACATATTCATGGCACATGTTAGTGCATTGGGAAGTTTTGAAAAATCCTGTGGTGAGAGTGACTCCTGACTTTTGAATGGATTCCTGATCTCTAGCATTTGAATGGATTTCAATGTGATGTTGCCTTATACGAACCATCCTCTTATACCCCCCTACCTTCCCAAGCCCTAACAATTACTCTTCTACTTACAAGTCTACAATTTTTAAGTTTCCAATTTATAAAAGCATGCTATATTTGATGTCCTGTTCCTGACTAATTTCACTTAGCATAGCATCATCAAGTTTCTTCCATCCTGCTGTAGATGATAGGGTTTGCTCTTTTTTTGTGGCAGAATAATACTTAGTTTACTAATCTACACACCTCATGTTTATTATCCATTCATTTGTTTATGGATACTTAGACTGATTCTTTAATAATGACTGTGGATAATGTGGCAACAAACTAGGACGATTCAGATGTCTCTTTGGTAAGCCCGTTGAATTTTTTCCAGGTATATACTCAGGAGTGGAATAGCTGAACCATCTACTTTATTTTTTTTCTTTCCTGAGGACCCTTAATACTGATATTTGTGGTGTCTGTGCTAACTTACATTTCCATAAACAGTATATAATGGATGTGTTTTCTCCACATTCTTGCCAGCATTGAGATTTCCTTGTCCTGTGTAAAATAAATTGCCCTTATTTATCTTCTTTGACCATGTTATTTTTATTTTGTTTTCCAGTGCGAGTGAGTCCATTGCTGAACTGTCTACCCCACTAAATTCCCATGTCCTTGATGACAGGTAGCAAATCCTATCCATCTTTAGCTCCATAGTGATTTACCCATGACTTAAAAGATGATTGGTATGTGCTTTTTAACTGACCAAAGGACTGCCTGTGAATTTCTCCAAATGAACAGATAGATGCAGGCCTGATTCATAGGATGCCCACCCATGATACCTATGTTCACTAGACTAGCCATGGAAGTCTTAGTTCCAGTATGCTCATTTGATTAGGTTTGTAGACGTGGGAGACAGATCATAGGGTTTAAATGATGATTATTCAAAGCAGTCTCCAAGCCCCTTCTCCATCCCATACTTTGAAATTAATGTTAGGGTACCAGGTTCTCCTGGAGGGTTATGTTGAGCCTTTGAGAAAGCTCTTCCCTGGCTCCCATAGGAACAGTGGATATGTTCCAGCATGCCACTTCATCTGGCTCTAGCTGGTCTTCGGGAACATGTACTCTGTGAAGACAGATAATGATGTTGGGAATAATCTTTTTGGATACTTTCAAAACATACAGTCGCCAAGTCATAGGTTTTCAGCGACTTTATCTCATGTTGCTATTAATCTTTATATTAGCCTTTTGTGTTATAGACCTTATTGTTACCACTTTAGAGCTGAAGAATGTGTGAGATATCAACCTTCCTGCCCTCCTCCCAGGTCACACAGCTAAGTAAGCAGTGAAGGCAGAATTCAGTTCTGGATCTATTATTCCCTAAAGTATCTTAAGAGAAAAATTCACAAGAGAAACATTCCCTGGATAAAATACAAGTAATTAGAATTATAAAATGATATATGAGATATTTTAAGTACGATGCTTCTTAATTACTATTCACTTTTAATCTCTCAAAATTATTGATATAAATGGTAGAAGGAATTTGTGGTACAAAAGTGCAATGCCATTATCAACCACAGGTACAAAATCTCTCACATCTGAGCTCTTGTGACAGAATAGAGTTTGGGGGATGCCAACAGAATAGCTTTCCTTGCCTGATAATTTTATAACTAAAGTAAAAAGAGGCTCCAAGAGGTCATTAAATTTCTAAAGTCCTATAAAATGTTGATAACAGAACCAGAGCTTACAATGTGGGTATGCCAAACCACTTTCCTTCTACTAAGTCAGACTGCCCTTTGGAGTGATATACACATCTTTATAAAAATGAGAGCAGGAACGGGAATGTTACTGAAGTCAGTTAGATGAAGTGAAAACCTTTTATCTCATCGCTTGTCCTTATTAAGGCCAAGGTGAGATTTGGAACGGAGAGATGTGGAATGTACCAGGCTTCTGTCGCTTTAGAGGTCTGATTGACCTAGGTAGGAAGAGGTAGGGGAGGAACCCCGTTTGGCTCCTGAGATATGGAAGTGACTGCCAGGTGCCCAGAATTATTCTACATGGATGTTAGAAATGCCCCCCTTGAACCTTTGGCCCTGGCTAGTTCTCAGCCAAAGAATCATAGGAACGCAGGGCCTTCTACTCCCCTTCTGGTTTTGAAGGTGAAGGAGGCTAAGGCTTTAGGACAACATGAAGTGCTGGGGGCAGAGGAGATGGTCATGGGCAGAACCAAAGGGTGAGCCCCCCCCCATCTCTATGAAGTGAGTGTGGCTTCAGCAAAAGGGGTGCGAAATGATATTGTGTGAGTAGGGATGGAACAGGAAAAGAGGCTGGGGCCAGGCAGGGCCAAGAGAAGCACTGAAGGTCAGTTGTGAGTGCAGAATCCCAGAGACGGCTGTATAGCCTGCATGTAGCACCTAGTCTCTACCGTGGGGCCTCAGCCTGGTTGGCCTATTGCCCTATTAAGTGAGCCATAACCACAGACCACAGTGTTCTAGGTTCTGTGTGAAACTTGCTGTCCACAATTGTGGCTAAACTTCCTGTTTCTGCCTTCCGTCTTGATTAGCATGTGCTCTAATCATCCTTGTTTGTACCTGAGCAGCCATCTGCTTCCTTTCTCTGACATGACAGGTGCCACTGCTGCCTGCCCTCTCTTCTCAGACCTATGCAAACCCTCCCTTCCTCCCTTCCTTCCTCCCTCCCTCTCCCTCCCTCCCTCCCTCCCTTCCTTCTTGACAGGGTTTCACTATGTTGCTCAGGCAACTTTTGAAATTCAGATTCAAGTGATCTCTTACCCCAGCCTCCCAAGTAGCTCAGACCACAGGTCTGTGCTACCACATCTAGCTCTTGTTTCTTTCTTGATTGTAAGTTTCCCTCTTGTGTCTTGGCCCCCAAATTGTATCTAATACAACGACTCCATGTCTTAAGATTTTTAAGTGTGTGTGTGTGGAGGGGGTTGTCTTATTTTTTTCCCACTTGGTCTTGAACTTGGTAAGTAATTGAGGGTGGCCTTGAACTCCTCATCGCCTTGTCTTTACTCCCCAATGATGGGTTACATATATGCACCATTGTGCACAGTTTATATGGTGATAGGGCTTAAACACAGAGCTTCATGAACACTAGGAAAGTAGTCTGTCAACTGAGCTACATGCCTTGATGGTGCTGTTTTGATTCTTACATATGTGCAACATGACTTGTGATTCTGGCTGGTATGCAGTGAGCAGTAGCCAGGCACCTTGATAAACATCCTTCTGTGGCTAAAACAGACAGTAAGAATAAAGAACGATCTTGTGTCAAATGTCAGTAGAGCACAAAATGAGAAACCCTGCTGTATTCTGTTTTTTGGTTTTTCGAGACAGGGTTTCTCTGTGTAGCCCTGGCTGTCCTGGAACTCACTCTGTAGACCAGGCTGACCTCGAACTCAGAAATTCTCCTGCTTCTGCCTCCCAAGTGCTGGGATTAAAGGCGTGCGCCACCACTGCCCGGCTAACCCTGCTGTATTCTGTAGCTATACATGTAAAAGGTAAAACTTGAAAATTGCCAGGTGCTGAGCATCGTGGCATGGAGGAACTTCCAGAAGCAGCTGCTCTTCCCTTCCTTCAATTATGGAGGAGTAGGGAGTTGTCATGAGACAGCTATAGTTTGGGCAGGAAGCTACAGAGGTAGATGGGAGGAGGTTCTCACCCCCAAATTTACAACCAAAACAAAGCTTCTCACTGCAATTTTTTACTACCTTAAAAAACCTTTTGATGGGGAGAGGGATGAATCAGTAAAGGGCTTGTTCTGTAAGCATAAGGATTCAAACCTAGATCAATAGCATCCACGTAAAAATGCCAGGCATGTAATCCTAGACCTGGGAAAGCAATAATGGGAGGACCTCTGGAACCCTCTGGTCAGCTATTTTTGCCAAATTAGTGAACTCCAGGTTCAGTGAGATACTCTATTTCAAAAAATAAGTTGGAGACCTGTAGAAGACAAGCAGTATACATTTCTATCTTCTACTAGTATACACATCCATGCACATGTATGCACATGCATACAAACACACACATACATACATACACACACACACGTGTACACCTGCACACACATACATCTGCATAAACATGCGGACACACAAATGAACACTAACATAAACAAATACCACACACACACCAACAAAATTGTGGGGTGGAGGTTGTGAATCTGATTGCAGACTTCCTTGGCACACAAGGCCTGGGATCAACCCATAGCATGGCAAAACAGTTTGGGAAAGAGAGAAACAACTAACTTGTTCAGTAGGTAATAAGATCTAAAGCAACAGCTCAGCAGAAGACCAAGGTTCGGTTCCTAGCCCCACATCAAGGTGACTCAAACTACCTGTAACTCCAGGAGATCCAATGTCTTCTTTAGCCTCTTTGAGTGTACTCGTACATGCATGCAGGAACATTTTCAAAATGCTAAGTTTTGCGGTTAAGAATTGAAGGTAGTAGGTTTCCTCATTTCTATTATTCTTAATCATAATTCTTTGAATGTTTGAATTTTACTGTGTCACCAAAGTATCACATACTATCAAGGGAAATAAATTAAATTTTTCATTTAAGGTTGATGAGTTATTAATTCCCTAAGGGCATGTCTGTTTTAGAAACTGTCAAAAGTGTTTCCTGATAGCCAAGTTTCTCAGACCAAACCTGGAAAACCTGTGTCAAGACATTTAAATAGTTGGCCTAACTTCTTGTCTCCTCTTGCTAGCTTCTTCCATCTGTGTCCAGTTGTGTTCAGCATGGAGGAACAGAACAACTCTGCTGGGAAGGAGCTTCAACACAGGGCCCGAGCAGAAGTTCCAGGAAAGAAAAGCTGGCAGTCACAGGCCTACACCCTTGGGGCAATTTCCAACTTTATGTCTACTTTCCTGACCTTTCCTATCTATAAGGTTGTGTTCCGGCAGCAGATCCATGCTGTGGCAGTGTCAGAGGCTGTGAGACAGCTTTGGCATGAAGGCCCTCAGTACTTCTACCGGGGCATCTACCCTCCTCTTCTCTCCAAGACTCTCCAAGGGACTCTGCTGTTTGGCACTTATGATAGTTTGCTGTGCTTTCTCTCCCCGGTTGGGCCACACTCACTCGGACAGCGTTGGACTGCAGGGCTCATGTCAGGTGTAGTAGAAGCTGTCGCACTGAGCCCCTTTGAAAGAGTACAGAATGTGCTTCAGGATGCTCGAAAGCAAGCTTGCTTCCCTAGCACCTTCAGCATTCTCAAGGAATTCAATTCTTATGGGCTTTGGGGGAGACTGTCACTGGGTTATTATCGGGGTTTCTGGCCAGTCCTTGTCAGAAACAGCCTGGGAAGTGCTCTCTATTTCTCCTTCAAGGATCCTATCCAGGATGGCTTGGCAAGGCAGGGCCTGCCCCATTGGGTTCCTGCTTTGGTGTCTGGTAGTGTCAATGGAACAATCACCTGCCTGATTCTGTATCCTCTGATTGTGTTAGTTGCCAATATGCAGTCTCATATTGGCTGGCAGAGAATGCCAAGCCTGTGGGCCTCTGCACAAGATGTGTGGGACACTCGAGGTAGAAAAGTCCTGCTGATTTATAGAGGAGGATCCCTGATCGTCCTCAGGTCCAGTGTGACCTGGGGCCTCACTACTGCTATCCATGACTTCTTACAGAGAAAGGCTCACAACAAGAAAGAGATGAAAGACTGACTAAAGATATGTGGCTATGGTATTCTTGTTCTAAATCTTTCCTTGTTGGTTGTGTATAGTATATTTCTTTGGCTTGGTTACCTAAAACAACCATTATCTGTAAACTGGCACTGCATGGGAGAAGCTCCTAACTTTTCACCTGTTAGTCACAGACAAAGCCTACCAGGATTCCTTGGTCAAAGAAAGTCTCCCGAGTCTACACACAGCTTCAGTAATCTCACAACCTGGAGCCTTTAAATAAGCCTTTAAATAAGCTGTAGCCCAGATTAAGTGTCATTCCTTCAAGGAATTTTTTTTTAAATAAGAGGAAACTTTAAAAGAAAACTCTACTTAGTACTGTAAGGTCTGGGAATCCTTCTATGTGTCCTTCTGACCAAACTGAGTGGAACTTCAAGTTCAATGACCTGTACTAGACTTTGAGGACAACTTCAGAGATGCCTATGTTTTACTGACATTTCTCATTGCCTCTACCACAGCCATTCTCGCTTCAAGCTATGGGTCCCATTTTCAGGGTCTCTGTTCTGATTACAAACCCTAGATTAGGCTCACCTCCACCCATCAGATGCCACAAGAACTGATGATGCTGGACATGGGGCTGAGAAAACATTTGGTGCCTGGATAGAAGGAAAAAAAGGCTTTGAAGCAAGAATTTTAATTACATACCAAATAGAGAAAACTATTACTATAAGTGGTTTGGTGTTATCCAGATTATGTTGCCTACAAACCATTTAAGTTTCTATAAGATAAACCTGGAACTAGCATGAGCATATCTCTTCATAATTAACCACTAATTCTGTTGCTGTGGACAGCTATATAGAATAGTGAATGATCTTAGCCTGCCATTCAGAGCCATTGTCTATATGGACTCCATATAACTTTCTACATATTATTATCCCACATGCATGGACTGCATAGGCCAGCCAAATGCAGTGTTTTTCACTCCCTAAACATTTCATGAAGTTACCCAAGGCCATACTCTGCCCCACACTGTTCTCTCCACTTGCACTGCCGTCCTCTACAATAAAAAGCCTGCAATTTACAAAAGTCCAGCTCTGATGCCACTGTCTGTATGGAGCCCTTTCTCTATCGCTCCCCCCGAAAAAAACCTGAAAGTGACATTGATTTTGTGATATACTTTTTAGCAGCTCATCAACATGCACTGATCCCATTGTGTCACTGGTCCCATGTGGTCCTAATGTTCTTGCTGTTCTTCAATACCTCCTACTAGTCTGCAAACTTCTTGAAAGCAGGGATTCTTATATGAGTTTTTAAATCCTCCATTGTGCCTAGGTGCTCAATAAAGTTGGTGAATTATCGAATTGATTATCAAGCTGTGATATAGTCTCTATCCTCAGGGTGCTATCCCTATTACATGAAGATAATGTTACTGACTCATTGACAACAAAACACATGCCTTTGGGATGTGTTTGTTTTCTTTTAATAGTGGATTTAGTTTTGTGCTAATTATGATGCCAATGACAATAACAATGATAATAAAATTTTGTTAAACCACAATATTTAGTGAGTTTGTGATATTTACAGCGTGCTTGCAATTATAACGACTTTAGCACCAAAACTACATAAACAGAATCACACTGCACAGATGCACACTGCACACTTACTCCTTTCAGCTCTAGAATTTTGAGTATTCCCAAGATGGCATGTGCTGCAGTTCTTGCTTCATACATGATATCATGGTAAATTCCTCTATCCACACCTCCTCACTGAACCAAAATTGTCCTTTATAATGACCCATTTGTCTAGGGATGAGAATTCATCACCAAATGCTACAGGAATTAAAGTCAGGATTTATAGAAAATGCCCATCCAGAAGAGCTGCAGATGAACTTCTAAATAGTAGGTATGAGCGGGCTGGGATAGTGTTGTTATCCTTTCTTACCTGTAGAGTGTATATCTATGCATTATGGATAGAAAACATTTGGTGGGGGTTGCATATGTATTGAACATGTGCAGCTCTTTTGATTGTTATACATTCGAACAACACAGTATAACAATCAATTGCAGAGCACTTAAGCTCCTATTAGATTTTATAAATAAACTAAAAACAATTTAAAATATATGGAATAGAGCAGGGCATGGCGCGACATATCTGTAATCTCCTTCCTGGGGATATGAGGGTAGGAGGATCAGGAGTTCAAGGCCACCCTAGGCTACATCGTTCCAGAACAGACTAGGCCGCATGAGATCGTGACTCAACTCCTCCTCCCTCCCCACAAAATGAAAAAGAAACCTAATTAGAAATAGAACAATAAAATGCATTTGGTGGGAAGTTTCATTCAATACAATTATACAATTTTTGAAAATATGGGACTTCAGAAGTATCTGGTTTTGGTTTTCCCAGAGAGTCCTGGAACTAAATCTCCATGGATCCTGATGGATACCAATGCTTGTCCATTCAAGGAAGTACAATACATACTCACACAAAGAGAGGAAAATTAGAACAGCAGCTAGTTATGCGTATGCCTAACTTCCAAGAGAAAATATTTTTTACAAAGATATGTAACAAACTAAAGAAAAATAATCAGCATTTCTCCCATATTTTTATATTAGATGCACTTATCTTCAAGTACACAGTGAATTTGCAGATGTTACTCTGTCAATCCATATCCCCTTCTTCATTCTATTTAGAAATAAATGTGAGATTATGGAAAATTTTTATGCATAATGCTCAAAGAGCATCTATGTAATCTTAACTCAGATCTGCCTATTAACATTTTATCTCATTTGCTATATGATATGAGCATGCATTCTGTCTATACACAGAAAAACATTTCTTCCTAGACAGGAAACTGCACACACACACACACACACACACACACATACACACTCACTTCTTTTTGAGACAGAGTTTCTCTGTGTAGAACTTACTATATAGATCAGGCTGGCAACCAGGCAGTGGTAGTGCATGTTTTTAATCATAGCACTCCGGAGGCAGAGGCAGATGGATCTCTGAATTTGAGGCCAACCTGGTCTACAGAGTGAGTTCCAGTACGGCCAGGGCTATACAGAGAAATTCTGTCTCAAAAAACAAAAACAAAAACATAACAAACAAACAAACAAACAAAAAATAAATCAGGCTGGCTTTGAACTCAGAGATCCACCTACTTCTACCTCCTAAGTGCTGAGATTAAAGGCTGGGCCACAGTGTTTGGCCCATAACTCATTTTCAATGTTTATAGATATGCTATTCATATATTCAAGTTTTTATAAAAGACAATCTTTTATCTCTCTGATAATTCTACAGGGCCGTTGCTCAGTGGCAGAGGCCTTATCTAGAATCTTTAAAGACATCCCCCACACCACAAAACAAATAATGCATAAAATGAGGTTGTTAAAAAATAATTTTTTTTTACCCAGAGTTTCTAGTCCAGGCCAGCCTTGAACTCTATAATGACAAGGATGACCTTACACTTCTGGTCTTCCTGCCTGCTGCCTCCAACTCTCAGATTCTGGGGTTGCAGGTGTGCACCATCATGGCCCTTTTGTGTGGCACTGGAGCTCAAACTCAGACAGAGCCTTGTATATGGTTGGCAAGCACTTTAATTGAGCAACAGCTCCAGCCCCACTTGCAAAATATTATAAATGGAAAACTCACATGATACGTTTTATGACTAATTTATGGTAGCTGTTTAAATTTACACTAATTGCTTTACACGTAAGTTTTAAATATATGTGTTGAAATTTGAAGTTATGAAATTACGAAGCTTTACAACCAAAGTATGGTATAATTTAAATTGGATCACATAAAAACCTAAGGAATGCTGTAAAATTACATATAGACCTATCATTTTTGTCCACTTGAATCTTCTGAGCAAAAATAACACTACAATTATTGTCCTGTTAATTTAAATGTCAACATTAATATTTCATTTTATGATGATAATCTAGTCATTTTTAGGATATTTGAAATATTACTTTCAGGACTTGAGATCAACAAAATAAGGAGCTAAAAACACCTATATTGGTTTAAAGACGTGCTAAATCTAGAGTTGAACACTATCACATAAAAATAGGCAAACGTATACACAATATGATTCAGCCATAAAGAACTACATCTGTACATACAGAATTCTGTGGGATATTTTTCTAAGAATGTAATTTCTGGTTTGCTGGGTGTGCATACTTTCAATTTAATTCAATGTTGCCTAACATTTTACGCAGCACACACAAATTTCTACCCTCAGAATACATGTTCAACAGTTCCTGTTGCTCCACCTGCAGGCCAACATTTGGCACTACCTAACATTATTTTTCCAACCCAGTGGCAGTAAAATGAAGTCTCCCGCTTTGATTTTCCTGATTGTTAATAATGTTGAGCACATTTCCATATGCCTGTTGGACATTAGGAGCTCTTCTTTTGTTAATCATTTATTCAAGACATTTGCTAGTTTTCCTGTTGAATATTGTCACTTTTTCAAATTTATTATGGGAGTTATTTGTTCTAACTTCAATCGTTTGTCTGTTCTCCTTACAGTAAATGTCTGTGTGTTTTCTGAGAAGAAATTATTCTTTGAATATATAGCCTTAGTTTTTCCTTTCACATTTATTTCTCCAAATATATTTGGAATTAATTTAGTGTAAAATGTAAGGATGAAGGCTGGAGATAGAGTGCTTTCTAAGCATGTGCAAGGCCTTAGGTTCAACCCTAGCATATAAACACTATGAGGCTAGATGCTCACTTTCATACTTTCTCAATAAATATCCAGGTATACTAATACCATTTGTCAACAAGCCTTTCCTCTCCATATTCATTTATGACAAAATTCTATCAAATATCAAGCATTTGTATGTCCTTGAGTCAACGATAGAGCTGCTCTGTTCCACTGTTTTCCATGTCTAAGTTTGTGTCATCATACCATTGCCTTATATTGTATCTTCAAAAAGAAGTCTTGGCTCAGGTGGGGAAAGGATGGAGGGAGAGAATACTGGAATCAGGGTGGGGGACTTCTCTGGGACAAGCTAGAAACCTAGGGCGATGGAAACTCCTCGGAATCTATGAGGGTGACCCTACCTAAGACTCCTAGCAGTGGGGGATATGGAGTCTGAACTGGTCATCCCCTGTAACCAGGCAAGACTTCCAATGGAGGGATTGGGAGACCAACCCAGTCACAAAACTTTATACCTACAATTTGTCCTGCCTAAAAGATATGCAGGCGTAAAAGATGGAGCCAATATATGTATGGGAGTAAGGCCATCTGCTGGAACATGAGTAGCCTCTCAGAGACCCCATTTTTGAAGAAACTGGCTCTCCCTTTCCAAACAACCATCAACTGTCAGTAATTCTCAGCTAGGGGCGGAACTTCTCCATGCTAGGATATTGTCAGACTTAATTTTTATCAGATTATGTACCTATAATCACATCTGTTCAGTAAACACTGTAGTAATCCACTACCCCTAGCTCTTAAAATTCTTTCTGCCCCTCTTCTGGGACAATCCCTAAGCTTTGGGAGGAGGTAACTTCAGTCTACATAGTTTTAATCTTCTATTTCTTGTCCATGAAACAAAGTACTAGGTGAAAAGTAGTGTCAGAAGATTGTCTTGTGGCTATTCTAAACTAATTGTTCTTTTGGTCAATGGCACAAAAAGTCTAAAATGTCACATGATTACATAGGCAATGTCCAGGAGTGGATGGCCCTGAACCACTGGCTTCCACATCTGCACTATGAGCTAGCCAGAGATTAGAACAGAGATTACTGAGCATAGGTTCAAAACCGCTGGTCATTACAGTATGGTCCCTTCCCAAGGCTATAAAAAAAACCCCAAGAATGCAGGGTACAACTCATTGTTTGGCCCCCGAAGCCCAGATATTAAAATCTATTTGGGTAAGATGTAGCTGTTCAGTGTGAAGCTCCTAAATTGGGAGAGGAATGAATGTAAAGAAGGTATTGTGGACCCCAGGGCTAAAGCTGTGGAAGAGAAAGGGAACTGAACCTAGCCAGTAATTCATCCCTTAGCCATCAGCTTTTTTTTTTTTTCTTAACTGTGACATCATAAAGCCCTGCTATAGGTGGGCTGCAGCTAAACAGAACAGAGACAGCCATCCAGAAAACTAGACCTGGCGAAGGGGCGTGGCAAGCCAGGACTCGTCCAATCAAAGAGGCCTTTGTAAGGATTACGTTAAGACCATCTGTTCAATCATAGAGGGGATGGGCGGGATGTAGGGGCGGGACCCATTTGCCGAGTTTATCAGCTAGCAGCTGCACCGGCAACCACCACCCGCACCCAGAGGTAGCTGCGGACTTAATTGCTGGCCTTACAGGAGCCTAGAAGCGGGCAGGTGAGAGCGAGTGGCCCTCCCGGGGCCAGGCACAGTGGCTACTGCCGGCGTGTGCGCTAGCGTTTTCCTGTTTTCAGGAAGACCGAGCTCTATCTGCTCACCGGAGTTCGCAGCGGCTTTGTTTCTGGCCGGTGCTGAGCGCAGTCCTGGCGGTGGCGGTGGCAGTGGTGGGGTCTCCACCTTGGGAGGTTCATAGGGACCAGCAGCTCCGAGGAGTTAGTGAAGGCTGGAAGGAGGGTTTGGGCGGGTGGGAAAGGGCCTTCTAAGGTTTACTCTCGCCCGTCTGCCTCGCCCTGTGGTTACAAATGTGTCAATCCCAGTTTCCCGGCTTTGAGCGTGGAGCTGTTCACTCGGTAAAAGAGGGCCTTAGGGTATCCTTAATTGAATGGCTGTGTGTTTGGCTCATGTGTAAGCTTCGGAGATAACGACTCTCCAGTGTACTTTGGTCGATAGATTGTGTCCTACCCCACTGGGGTAACAAAGAAGAATGTTGCCTTCTGATCTTTGGGGGTCTTTTCCTATTGTTCTTTTCTGATAAACTTGTGAAATTTAGAAGATACCAGGGATTTCGCCATGTGTACCTTTGTATCATGCCAATTAATTTGGCTTACTTCACTCTGCTAAAGTTCTGAGTCGGAGCCTAGTTTTTATCTCCCTTACATGTTTACTAAGGCTACAAGAAGATACTGTGTGAAACTTGTAATCCCCTTTCATTCTTATAATGCTCTGCTATACCAACTTTCATCATTCAATTAGAAGTAGTACAGCGTTGTATGATACTTTTTTTATGTGATACTCACCACCATTCCTAAATACCCCAAAAGTAATTGGCTAGAAGGTGAAGATGCTCAAATAGTCCCTCCTGTCTTCTCTTAAAAAGCCATCCCTAGTCAAATCTAGTCCTTTATTGACTCTTCTATTCCTATCTGCTAGTGCTTGTCACTTCTATTTTACCTTTGCTGGGAATTTTAAAGTGGGCCCCACCCCCACACCCCCACTGCCGGTCTCTAGAGTATCTTGGTTTCTAGAGCATCTTTGTCTGCTGTCATTTACTACCACCATAAATGGGCTAAAGTTTTGTAATCAGAGTACTCTAAGGAAACCATGACTTCGTAAGATTCAAAACAGGATGCAAAATATTCACTGAGAATAAATGAATGTTTTTACTGTGACTCAATCTGGTCATAGTTCTAGTGGGTAACGATTTTTTTCTTTTTGGTCTTTCTTTTAGTCAAGATGAGTGATAAACCAGACTTGTCTGAAGTTGAAACATTTGACAAATCAAAGTTGAAGAAGACTAATACTGAAGAAAAAAATACTCTACCATCGAAGGAAAGTAAGTAATGGGGGTTTCTAGTAGTGAAAGTTGGTATAGTCAGTTAACAAACTTATGTTCTTTTAAGTTTTTCACAAAGTACATAATAGTGTCCTACCATACTTAACAGTTCAAAATATCCAAGAGCTGATTTTGTTATCAGGGATATGTAAGTGGTTCCTGCATAACAAACAGCAGTAGTATAAAGAAACAAAAGCTATTTTCTGTTGAAAATTACAAAAATCACATTAAAATTAATCTTGGAATAGTGGACAAAAAAACCAACGTACACTTGTAATCATGTGGTGTTTTTCTCCCTTGACAAGTTTGAGTGTGATCTTGTCCCCCTAATGAACTATGCCAATGTTTCTGATGTTTTGTAAATGGAGTAAGTTCAGATTTTGAGTACACTTGAGGTTCCCAGACTCCGAGGACTACTGTTATTTCTCACATTTTCATCTTCCTGGAGAATTTCCAAAAATCGTTCACAAATGTTGTACCATGCTTTGCTTTCTGTTACACCAAAATTATCCGAGAGTTCCAAAACCAGACAAAATGGTTTTAAAGTGTAAAATGGTTTTAGAGTATAAGTTTCCTTATTGGACTGTGATAAATATATTGGAACAACGCACTTCATTTACCATTTAGTCTCAAATAGTGGCAGCAGCATACATCTACTTTAAATGGAATATAAAACCTATAGTTGATTCAGATTCTATTAAAATGGATATTAAAAACATTGCTATGTACTCACATAACACTTTGTGGGGGATTTGTGGGTACTATCTTACTTAGTATTCTGAATTTAAAGCACATATAATAATCATTTGAAGATTTAGCACAGAATTATTTTTAATGGTTTCAAACCCCAGGCCTTAGTTCACAATAGCCAAGTCCTATAAAAACTCTAGGAAAACACTAGACATATTAGAAAAGTTCTCTGCTAGCAATATTTTTATGTTTCTTTTTTTTTTATCCCTAGCTATCCAGCAGGAGAAAGAATACAATCAACGATCATAAAATGAGGATCTCCTTTCAAGAGCAACTTCACCATTGCCTGACAGTCTTGGTTTTAGCCTTGTTTCTGTGAACCGATGTGATAATGTAGGATTTTTTTCAGTGAACATAAGTGATGCTGATTTAAATGTGTCTCTCCCAGTTCATATGCATCTTTTTAGCTCCCAATGTTTGGCTAATTTAGTCCCTTTGGGAGCCATTCTTATAAGGTTAGTAGAAGTTAAATAAGGTTATAAAAGAAGCTTCTAAAAATAGGAAGTGGGGAGAAAAAGCAGGACAGAACTGGGGGAGGAGGGGTTTCCACTACCCAGTAATAACCATCTAGACTATGATCCTAATTTACACATCTTCTTTTTAAAAGGTTATGTATTTGTGACCTAAAATGTTAACTTGCTTTTTTCTTTCTAAGGATGTATAAGAACTTATATCCTTAAATTGTCACAACTAAAAATAAAGCAACAACAGAACAAATAATAACAAACCCAAACAACAAGCCTTTTCTCCTGGTGACTGAATACTCAGGAAGCTAATTACTGGTTCAGCCTATATCACTTTCATGTAAATATGAGCTGATAGCCTAGGGGCTGATGAGACTTGGGTTACTCTCGAATCTGCCTCAGTGATGAATAGTTTCAGATCACAAAACTTTATATAGAAAAGTATAGAGTACTGCTCAAGTTATAAGGGTCTTTGAAAGGCCAATGTATTAAAAGATTGATGGGCAGTCTGTATCATTATTGTGAAGCTGTGAGACCTTTAGAAGATGCAAGCTTGTAGAAGTAGTTTAGGAATTAAGAGTGTGTCCTTGCCACACCAGGCTTCTGTCAGCAAGCACCTCTTGGCATCAGCAATAGTGTCTGGGTTTGGTGTCTACAGACAGGATGGATCCCTAGGTAGGGCAGTCCATGGATATCCCTTCCTTCAGTCTCTGCTCCACTCTTTGTTCCTGCACTTTTTGTCTCGGTCTTTCCCTTGGACAGGAACATTTCTGCGTTAAAAACTTTGAGATGGGTGGGTGGCCCCATCCCTCCACCAGGGGGTGTACCTATCTACTGGAGATGGTCTCCACAGGATCTGTCTCCCCTTTGCTGTGCATTAGGTTAAAGTCATCCAGGTTGGGTCCTGGGAGCCCCTCACTTCCCTGGCATCTGGGATCCTCCAGTGGATACCCCTAGTTACCCCCCCCCAACTGCTACGTATTTTTATTCGATTTCCTGACCCCTCTGTACCTCCTTCCTGTCCCCTCCAGTATCTGATACTGCCCCCTTATTTCATCCCCCTCCTTTCTCCTTCCCAGGTCTCCCCTCCCCCTACCTCCCTCTATCATCCTGTTCTCCATTCAACGTAGGACTGAAGCATCCACACTTTGGTCTTCCTTCTTCTTGAGCTTCATATGGTCTGTAAGTTATATCATGGGTATTCTGAGCTTTTTTTCCCCTAGTATCTACTTATCAGTGAGTACATACCATGTGTGTTCTTTTGTGTCTGGGTTACCTCACTCAGGATGATATTTTCTAGTTCCATCCATAGGAAGAACAGTATCAGCTAACTGGACCACCCAGTGCTCCCAGGGACTAGAACATCAACCAAAGAGTGTGCAGGGAGGGATCCATGGCTCCAGATACACATGTAGCAGAGGATGGCCTTGTCTGACATCAATGGGAGGGGAGGCCTTTGGTCCTGTGAAGGCTTGATGCCCCAGCGTAGGAAGATGCTGGAGCTGTGGGGCTGCAGAGAGTGGGTGGAGGAGCACCCTCATAGAGGCAAAGGGGAGGGGGAGAGGGTGGATACACGATGGAGGGTTTGTGGAGGGTAATCAGAAAGTGGGATATCATTTGGGATGTAAATGAATTGAGTAACTAAAAAATAAAAGATGTGTCCTTGAAAGGCACATTAGGACCTCATCACTTATTTGCTCTCATCTTTGCATTCTGTTGTTTTAGTAAGTAGCCACTCTAGAATGACCAGCTTTCACCATATATTCCTACCATGATATATTGCCTTGGTACAGACTTAAGGACAGCAGAACTGAGTCATCTTGGCAACCTGTATAAACCCAACCAAAAAAACCATTGCCTCTTATACAAGTTTCTATAGAGTAGTTTGTCTCGAACATTTTATCACACTGATGGGCTGGAAAATATATAGAATCAGATAAATATGAATAAGCTAGAAGAGTTACTTTGTCATTATTTTTAAATATTATGTGATTCTAGTTTTGATTACTGGTATTTGAAGAAAGCATCCATGTTTAAAAGTACCTGTTTGGGTGTATGTGTTTCTCAGTGTGATTCCTTCAGCAGGTTTTATCACAATATTACATTTTGCAAGAGAAAAAAAGGTTTTAATCTCTTCATCAGGAAAACATCATGTTAGCAACAAAACTGCTTGATCCTTAATGGTCTCACGGTAAACATTATTGAAGTCTGACCATGTGTGATCATTACCTCATGGATGGTCTCTATCTTTTAGATTCTTAATTCCTAAATCCTTCTTTGCTCTAAATTCTATTTTCCTGCCATGCCGTTATCACTTTTTAAAGTTAACACATGTAGTGGCTTTAATTATGACATTTTCACACATGCCCCCCTTTTTGAGACACTGTCCCTGTGTGGTCAACATTAGCCTGGTATTCATTTCATAGCATAGGTTGGCCTTAAACTCATGATCTTCCTGTTTTAGCCTTTTGAGCGTACGGATTGCAGGCATGTACCTCCATGCTTGGCTTACTTTCATATTTACAATTATTTAAAATGGATTACTCATGATAGATGCTTGAAGGATATGTTTTTAATTTAAAAGCACTTTCCATTCACTTGACTGACCTCTAAGGAGAATTAGGTTGATATTAGTTTCCCCCTAATAATTCTTATTCACACACACTAGCATTAAGTATACCCCTAGCATCTAAATATTGTAAGAAAATTGAAACTTTAAAAACGCTTTAAACTTGGTAAATGCTAAAAAATTCTTAATACATACATAAGAATCCTTCTGCTCTCATGCTGAAGATTTTGGTCAGATCTGGAGATGAGACAAAAAGAAAGGGGACTATATGTAGGTTTAAGCACTGTTGAAATCTGTTAGAGTTACTGAGTATTAATAATGAGCCCTTGAAATTGTTTCTGTAAGTATTTCCATTGATATTAATTTTCCTGAACTTAAGCAAAAGTTTTTCAGGATAGGGCAACTTGATTTCAGAACTCTCTTGTTGTCCTGATGGCCTTGAGCAAAAGGACTATCAAAGAGTAGACAAGTTATCTTTATGCTAGTCAGGGCTGTTAAAATCCAAGGACTCCTTGAGAAATGTATGCAGCAGGAAGCTAGGGAGATAGCTCTGTTTGAACCTAGAACCCCTGTAAAGCTGGCTGCTGGCTATAACCCACATTTGCATTCACTATGCTTGCTTCTATGGTGAAATGAAAGGTGAGGATAGGTGATCCTGGGGAGCTTTCTGAACAGTTAACCTGGCATACACAGAGGTGACAACAAAAAAGAGTCCCTGGAGCCAGTGAGATGGCTCAGCAGTTAAAAGCCTTGCCATGTAAGCCTGGTCACTTGATTTTGATCCCTGGACTCCACAATGGAAAGAATGAACTGACTCTCAAAAGTTGTCCTTTCAGGTCAATTAACCTGGACCCTTGGGGCTCTCAGAGACTGAAGTACCAACCAAAGAACATACACAGGCTGGACTTAGGCCTCCCCACACATATGTAACATGTTTAGCTCTATCTTCTTGTGAATCCCCTAACAACTGTAGTGGGGGCAGTCCCTTAAGCTGTTGCCTGCCTATGGATCCCATTCCCCTAACTGGACTGCCTTATCTGCCCTCAGTGGGAGAGGATGAGCCTTGTCCTGCAGTGACTTGATGAATGGGGAAGGGTGCGATGCTTGGGGGGGGTTCCCCTTCTTAGAGGAGAAGGGGAGGAGAAATGGGGCAGAATTTGCATGAGGGGCAACTTGGAGGAGGGGGGGCTGATATTGGGATGTACAGTGATAAGTAAATAAAAAAATTTTAAAAGTTCTTTGACCTCTATATGTGCATTATGGTATCAGGGATATCCCATGGTACCATGGGATTGGGCACAAAAGCCTGATCCCCAATAATAAGCAAATAAATAATTTTTATTAATTTATTTACATTATATTGCAATCACAGCTCTCCCTTCCTCTTCTCCTCCCATCCCCTCCCCCCCAGTTCACTACTCCTCTCCTCAGTAGAGGGGAGGTCTCCCATGGGTATCAGACAGCCTTGGCATATCAAGTTGCAGTAATACTAGGTGCATTTTCTTCTATTGGGGCTAGACAAAGTTAGGGGAAAGGGATCCAAAGGCAGGCAACAGAGTCAGAGACAGCACCTGCTCCTGCTGTGATGCTTGCATCTGTAGTTGTTGTTCTTTTTTTCTTGTTTCCCCAATTTCCATGGTTGCCCCCATGTGTGTTTTCTTTATTATTTCTATTTCCAGTTTTAGGTCTTGAACAGTTCTATTCATTTCCTTCACCTGTTTGGCTGTATTTTCCTGTATTTCTTTAAGGAACACATTTATTTTCTCTTTAAAGGCTTCTAATATCTTCATAAGATTAGATTTAAGATAATTTTCTTGTGCTTCAGATGTGTTCGGATAGCTGGGCTTGCTGTAGTATGATAGCCGGCCTCTGGTGGTGCTATAATGGCTGGCTCTTGTTGATGGCATTCTCACACTGGCCTTTAGCCGTCTGGGTTTTGCAGTTATTATGGGTTCAAATGCTGATTTCTGAGTTTATCTTTGCTGGATGGGTTGTTTTTGTATCCCCCACCCTTGGCTTCTGTTTCCTCTCTGTTGTCTGGCCTTAATGCCTTAGGTTTCTGGTGACTATCGAATCTTCAGGTCCAACACAGTGTCTCCCCTGGGGTTTTGTGGCCTGTGTGGCCTCTGGGTTCGTGGGTGCTAACTTTGCCTCTGGGGTCCCTAGTAACTGCACAATCTGGGGTCCTTAGTGCCAGAGTGGTCTCTGGGAATGCAGACAGAGTTATGGGCCAGAAAATGGAGCACAGGGGACAGGGTTCAGTTTATCACTTTTGAGTTGCTTTATGGGGACTTGACAGAACATTTTTCAAAGGAGAATTTGAGTTCCACAGGTGTGCTGTGCATATATATGCTTGCACTTCCACATATAAACAAATCTCTCTCTCTCTCTCTCTCTCTCTCTCTCTCTCTCTCTCTCTCTCTCTCTCTCTGTCTCTCTCTGTGTGTGTGTGTGTGAGAGAGAGAGAGAGACAGAGACAGAGACAGAGACAGAGAAACAGACACAGAGAGATAGAGACAGAGACAGACACACACACACACACACAGAGAACACTATCATGGCTAATTGATTTGAGTCTTTGAAAGCACAACCTCAGTCATTCTCTTTGCTTACTATATGAGTAGAGTCAAAGGACCCAGCTAGCTGACTGATAATGCAGACAAGTATGTACCCAGGGCCTTTGGATTCCAGTAGAAATATGCTGAT